GCTTGTGTTAATCACCGTATTATCCTCCTGCTTGAGTTGCCAGGTGTACTACAGATCTGGCTCAAGTGAAGGGCTCTCGACATTGGAGCATTAACTCACTGCTGCAGTTTCCACAAGAATGAAAAACACAGCTCCCTTAACAAGGGAAGAAAACTAATTATTTCAATCACAGGATTATATACCATACTAAAATAACATAACTGCCACAACTGCGTGCAAAGGCCTGCTCTGGGAGATCTTTGCTGTGATGCAATGCTGTGGTCAATGTGGCTGTGAAGCTCACAGGGCTTAAGGGCCTCCATTAATGCATTAGGTGGTCTTGAAAGAAGAGTTTCTAAAGTAATACTGCGGGGAGTTTTCAATTGAACACAACCTACGTGAGGCCTGCCCCTCACCGCCTCGCTTCTGTATCTGTTGTCATTACCGCACGCCCTTCCCTCAGACAGGACTGATCAACTTGTACCTCTTAACGTCTGCCATTAATTCGGGAAGACCAATGTAACGATTAAAGTTGTGCACTTTCATAACTCTCACCCAAAAACCACAAACCGAAAAAAGAAACTCGTTTGTTTAAATCCTTTTCCAGTTGGGCTTTGTGAGTGAGTGAACACATCTTCTGCACCCTCAGCCCATGACGCTTACGACTCCCTTGGACCGAATCCCACCTCTCTCACCTCTCGCCTGCAAGCCCGGCACACTTCCTAATGCCAGACATCTAAAATAACAACACGGATGATATGCTTTGCTAACCATGCAACAATAGATGCTAGAAAGCCTTTACAAGTGCAATTTCTATTCTTTTCTATGAAATTAATAACTTACTCTAAGATACTGTAGATAAATTCAGACAGCCAAGACAAATGTTATTAAAAAACATTCACAATTTGCAGGGTTACGTTAACTCAGCAGTAACCCTTAAAAGGGAGTTTTACTGTACATTAGACATTAAAACGTTAGTCTCATTGGATTTAGATACAATAAAAAGTTGTTTGCTGTGCAAAAGGTGCTGTGTAGCTAATATTCAGCATTGCAAGATATAAAGCTGTTGGGCAAAACTGATTAGACCAACAGCTAGCATAGAACAGGAGGAATTCATCACTTCTCCTCTTGACTGCGCTAGATTTTTCTTTGTGCTGAGAAGAGAAGAAGCCCAGGGAAGCATTCAAAAGCAATGTTATAAACTAAAGAAGTTTCAATGGACTGTTGTTCTGCCCCTCTGGACAAATGTGGCCCCAGAGCACCACACAGTGAAGCTCACTACTTATGCAGTGAGGATGACTAAGTCCAGAAAGTCAGACAGAAGTTCCAAAGGAAAGGCAATTGTGCTACAGATTCTCCAAGCCTGTGATGACAAGGTCTTCACAGAGCTGGATTTAAATCAGAAGCTGGAGGTAAAAGCACTTTCAATGTACTCCCTTCACCAGAGCTGCTTTTTAAGGAGACCTATTTGTTACTTCAAGAAGAGAGGGCATTTTAGATGTAACATTCAGTGGTCTCGGGCGTCCTGGCAGCGTGCAGGTGGGTGACTCATCAGTGTCCCCAGGCTGGGCTTTTCCTGATGGATAAGCCCCTGCGTCCTGTCTCACGACGGTCCACTGTGCTCCTATCATTAGCTCTGGTCCATGCAACACAGAAGGATAGAGCAGAATGATGGATTCAGTCCATCCATACTCTGTCTGATCACTATATTAAAAAAGCCATTTGTTACCCTCTTTCAGCATCTTTTCTCCATGCGTGTACAAACCTACCAGCTCTGATACACAGGGACACGCTGCTGAGCAGTGAGCTGGCCCAGGATGAAGAAAAAGAAGTGGGACTGCTCATAATAAAACAGGCTTGTTCTACTGACAAAGTCGCAGTAAAGGGATAAAAATAATAAAAGAATTAATGAAGGAAAACTCAAAATCCTACAGAATATGTGAAGTGCGACACAAATTTAGGAATTAATTTAAAAGCACCATTCAAGGCATATTCATACTTATTTGGTAATATCATAGTGCAGGAGAATAAGAAACAATAATTAAACAAGCATGAGATGTCAATATAAATTGCATTTTATATGTTGTTCTTCATGTATTACAAAACCTGATCAGTTCTGAGTTGTGGATTTTTCTTATAGCCATTTTCAAGTATTTCCATTTTTCAGCAATAGAAATACTTCATCTCACTCTCTATTGTTGAACTTTTAAATATTACATAATAATGAGTTTACAACATATTTGTACAATACATTGGTGTGTTGTATTAATGCTGTATCTCTCATATTACTTCTACAACACAGTCATTGAAAAAAGTTTAAGTTCTCCATCTTAGCAGTTTTAGTTATTTAGTCTTTCATTTACAAAGATAAAAAAACTTCCATTGAACATTTCTAAACTTCAATTTTCGTTTTTTTGTACTCACCCCAATACACCAACATGGGGAGACAATCTCTAACACTCAGATGTTAAGACATAAGGATTCCGTCTGTCACAAATATACAGTCTATCACAATGTATACACAGTGCTTCACTGACCCATGTAACTGTGAGTTGTTATATCAAAAGCTGGCACAGAAATCCTAACTGTCCCAGTTCCCAGAGACAGACATCAACTGGCAGATAGAAGACAATATCTTATTGCGTACTGTAAATACAGTGAAAAATGCTTTCTTCATGAAGAGAGCTTAAGATATGTTTGGAAATAGTTTAATGATATGTTATGTTTATAAAATGTCCTTATTCCTCTCCATAGCTAATTAGAATATTGACTGAGGTCTCTGACTGATGGAGGTTGGCCCTGGAGACAGATAAAACATTTAGAGCCCACTAGGAGTGGTCAGCAGCCTCGGAACTCCCCACATGGCTTCCTGCCTGGCTGCTAATCGGAATTCAATGGTTACAATATTCCCATTACAATACATAATTCCTTTCTTTTTTTCTAGCCACAGACAAGCCTTATCTGTTTACATCAAAACCCACCCATATGCGTGCCCAAATTCTTCATGAGGATAATCATTACAGCTGTACAACAGAGCGCTGGGCTCCTTGACATTCAGAGAGGACAAGCATGGCTATGTCTTCACTCTTCTGGCCTCCAGGCTGGAATTCCCCAAACCATCAAAAATGCTTTTGCTTGACAGAAAAGAATCGTTCCTTTTTTAATGAAATCAAGGGCTATATTCAATGCTGTACAGATGCATAACTCTCCATAAAATATTAAAATAAGTATTTTACCATTAAAATATAGCTATTTCAAACCCATTGAACTATAAAATTCAAGTGTTATGAGAAATTATTGAATATTTAAATATGCCAGCCTCACTAATATGCCTTTAGTTCACAGTAACAGATTGCAATCATTCAGTTCTCATTACATATAACAAAGAACCCATCTTACAAGCACACAGTACTGATTAGTTTAGAACAAACAATATTGTATCCAAGGCATAATTGCTTTTACAATCCATAAAATTAATGGAAATAGTGTCGGGTGTTAATATTTTCTTATGGCAAATCCAGACTGAAATTACTCTATGTGAAATCAATAGATCTTCACCAGGACGTCATTATTGGACATTTTATTTTTTTATACATGTGCGCTGGGCTATCTTGGTGAGTTTACACTGGTGGTGTTATTACGCAATGTGAATAATAAACAGCAGGATAATGGGACGCTGCAGAATGTGCATCTTTTTTTTCATTGTTCAATTAGCTAAATTAATTGATTTTTAAGAGTAACAAGTAATTTTCACACAAACTGTTCATTCTGTCTGCCCCGATAAACTGATTTCATTTTGTTCTTTTAATGATTTTTTAAAAATTTTGATGGAAACCATGCTGACACTTTCTTTTGGTTCATCAAGTTCCGGAGCACAATTACATGAATTTACTTTCAATAAATTACCATCTTTGCATATATCAGTCAAAATGTGAAGCCCAAGCATTCACAAACAATATGCATTATTAATTTAATTGTCACAGCTAATTTAGTTAACTTATAATAGGTTTGGACAGGCCATGCTTGATGCAGCATTAAACCACAGCAGCAGTTCAGGAAAATCACTGGTCTGCCAGTCTGGCCTGTCCTGTCCGGGGGAACGACACACCTTAGTGAACAAAGGCAGAGGGAAACGAATGCCTTCTCAAGAGAGGTTTTGGAAATTGATTATTTCTTACAGAAGGTTTCAATGTCCTCTTTAGTACTTGAAACAGCAAGAAAAACAGAAAAATACCAGTTGAATACACAATTCAGAATGACAAGAATTTTACGTTTTATCTTACATAGATTATAATACAGGTCATACCCTTTCTTTTTGGATTTTCTCTATTATCATTTCACCCATATTTAAGAAAAAGTAAAGAGCAAAACTTTTAACGATATTGGCAACACCTGTACCTGTATATGGATACAATAAGAACGTAACATTTCACAACCACCAAAAACACGTTCCACCCTCAGTAGACTGAATAACTTCCAAGTAAAGCCGAGGACTACAATCTGTTCAAATACTGAAGATAAAACCACATCATAGAAATTGTATTTGTAGTCCATTCAGCCATCAATAAAGGCAATAGTGTAGGCAATATAGGCTGGGAACAAAGCTTATTTTCAAAGGGAGGGAATGGGGGGGGGGACGATGTCACACGTTGTTCTGAGTTAGGGACAGTTCTTGCAGGCCACATATTCCTCAACCCAGGTTTTCAGGAGATCCGAGCTAGCTCCCACAATGCCCTACAACAGGAGCATGTGAACACCTCTGTTCTTCCATAATCTACACATCAGTCGCAGTGCTTCAGTGGTCTGCTGTTACTTTGGCAAGCTGTGAGCTATGATGTTAATGGTGGGTACAAATTGTGAATTAACACTACGTTAGTGCATGGCTAGACCACCAAACCCACTGTAATGGTGACCTCAGTGGCATCAGGATCAAGCTCACCCAGATTTAAAAAGGCTCTAAGGACTTGTAAATGGCCAGCTATCCTCCAGGCTCTGATTCCAGATTACATCAACTTCCTTACCTTTCTTTTGGTCTTCCCACTCCATGCTTTCCCAGCAAATGTGTGTTCAGATGTTTCTTCATCACAAAGGCCCACCTAAGAAACAGGAGAATGGTTAGGTTCAGCATTATTATTATCTACAGGACAAAAACATTTTAAACAGACCCCAAGGCACTTGTGAATTTTTCTTTTCCTGGACTTGCCAGAATAACATTGTCTTTCAAATGCAGATCAATCCTAATTTCTCATATTGATGTTTTTTATAAAGGTATGCATATATGTAAACAGAAAATCAACCCCTGCTGAACAGCAATGCAAATCATTCTTTTAGGGGGAAAAAATAACAAAAATGAGCAGAGACTTTTAGAAACCTGTCGGGATTTCAGAGTTCTGCAGTGTTGATTATAATAATGTGAAAGCTCACGTAATGAGCATTTCCTTTCATCTAAAAAACCTGTTTTCACACATCAAAATCAAACATATCAGTGCGGGCAGTCATGTGCTACAAACCTATCTCCCTGGCTTTCTTAACTTCAATGAAAAACTGAAAAATGGGGCTAGAGAGCTTGCTATAATATGTCTGACCACAATCTTCCACACAAAGTACAAAAATAGGTCTTCTACAAAAAATGGCTCTTCAGAGGTGTGACCAGAAAGGCCAGATTAACTTCATCTTACTTTTTCTGAGCGACAGGAACTTATTTTATGCCAGGGTTGACACTTATCCTAATTTAGCTCTGCCTACAGAGTAGCTGAAGCTGCTGAAATATTTTTAACGTGACCTTTTTCATTGTAAAAGAAAGCACCTCTGAGATCAGACTGCTCTTTTTGACAAAATTTAAGAAGGCAGAAGTGATTCTAGACAGAACTAGAATCACCAGGTTGTTTCTTTTTTATCTTAAGTTGAAAACAACATTTCACTTTGAGGCTTTGCCAAGCGTCCACTGGTTTTGAAGAGTAAACTGACACCATGGCAAGGAGATTTACTATAACACTATGCTATTTTCACTTATTTTTTCCCTTTTTATTATATATTATTTTTCACTTTACACTTACAGCAGGAGATGATGTGTTATTCTAGATACTTGCTTTGAAGTCCTGTAGTGGCAAAGTATTTGGGGAAGCTGGATTTTTTTGCCTTCAAAAAAATCATTTCAATAGATAATAACCATCATACAAGAACATAAGAATACAAGTTTGCAGGCTACATCAATCCCATCTTTAAACTTCAGTTAAACAGTAACAGAAAAACCGAAAGGCAGCTTGTGGAATGCCCACAGTTCAGTCCCACTTGAAGTTGACATACAACAGACAGGGAAAAACAAGCCCTGGTCTACAAAGTCATAATCAAAGAAACTGTCAACAACAGACAACCAAACAGCAAAGACTTGTGAATATACTGCTATTTTTTAAGCACTGAATTGTTTTCTATTTCTGGTTTGATTGCTTACTTATTTTATATCCAAATCTCTATCAGCTTTTTTCAGGGATAAATAAAAGATGTCACAGTATGTTTGACAGTAAGATCCTCTTTCTCTCTTGAAATACCTGCAACCCCAATTAACCAGGGCAATTTGAAACTATTTTAATCCTCCCTAGTCTTGAGGATGTATCCATTTTTTTACTGAAGGCACTAAAACCAGGTCCTCAGTTTCTAACATATGACACAGCAAATGTGTACCACGCTGATCTCTTTATGTCCCTGCCTTTGCCACATGAAGGGATGAAAGCAACAGAAATTCTCTGATCAATGCTGCTCCTCCTTCAGCTGTCCTGAGGGCTGCCCTGTAGCCCTTGTGAGCCTCCCTCAAAGGCCACTCTGGAGGTAGTGACGGTGATAGGAGAGATCTAGAGGAGAGAAGTTGTGACCTGGCGCCGGGCTTCTACCCACCAGCACACCAAATGGGCTAAGGGCATGAGAGGAGAGAAGCCAGGCTGTTAATGAGCCAAGGACAGCAATCCAGTCCCCGCTATCACTGTCATACCACAGCGGATCCAGAAATGACTTCTCAAAGCTAACGCCTTTGGACAGTGACATAAATATTCAAAATGATTTATTTCAGACTCTCTCCCTCCTTAAATTCTGCTCCATGGGGCCTTTAAACCGCATGGCTTTCACTTCAGTGAAGGAGAATGAAGAGATTAAATTAAAGGTACACAAGCTTTAGGGAAACCAGAGCACTTAACGCACTCAGAAATAAAGAAAGAAATAAGCAGTCCTTAAAACATTTCAGTGTTGCTTGTGTACGTTGCAGTGTAAAAGGGGCTTGCAAACATTTCTGTTAATTATGTATTACAGCTGTCCTTCATAAACTTAATTACTAAGTGCTGAAAGGCAATAGACTCAATTTGCATATGTACATGAAAGACATGGCATATGCAAAAATATGATTTTAATTAGCATTCTCTGATAGGGAGGGTTACAAATCAAACTGGCATGTTGTAAGATTTTCATCTTCAGCGTTGAATTAATCCAGACATGCGATGGCACGACTGGCATTGCCCACTGCAAGAGCCTAATATGAAACTTCTGAAATAAATCGCATGCATAAGGCAAACTGGTACACATTTATTTAAACAAGCTGTTCATATTATACGCTCCTCATTCCTTGGCCATGGGTACTGTCAAGTTACCATAGTGAATTTCTCCCCTTCGCAGCCTTGGGGGGTAACAACATAATTTGGTCTTTTTAAATGATTGTGTCTTGATTATTATTATAAAAGGATATTATAGGATGCCATTCATTCTATCAATTTTTCAATAAATTTAACTAATAAGACTTCTCAGCCTGGGGGATATTCATAATATCATAATAGATAAAAAGAATGGTTCGGATTTCACATTTTCCCCTCTAACTAATCGACGTGCTACACCTCGTTAGATCTGTGACGCAAATACCGATGTACCAGCTCTTTAATGATAAGACATAATGAAAGGCTAAACTATATTGTTTAGGATTTTATTTTTTTAGATGAGAAGATTACACATCAATATTGAACAGAAGCTTTTTTTAAAAACATAAATACTGGATTTTCCACTTACGATGTTCAAGCACAGTATGGTACGTACACAAAGACTCGATACCTGTATATGAACCATTCTGGTTACTAGTACAGGCCACAGGAAGCCAGTTTGTAGACAACCATGGCTCAGACAGGAGAAAACGGAGCTCTGAGTGACTTTCAAAAAGTGCACTCTGCACTGTGAAGTGAAGCACTAAACAAAATAAAGAATACTAAACAAAAACAAAAACAAAAACAGCCTTTGAGAAACCCAGTGAGGGGAATTCTAGGTCCTCTTATCTTTAAACTGTTGCACGATTTAAGTTTGCATTCATCACTGATCGTCTCATGAATTAAACACTTTGCATTATTTGAGGTCCACAGGAAACTGAACCCCAAATGTTCAGTTTGTAATCCATGTAATTTTTATAGTTTAGCAACTGCTTTGAAAGGAGCAAGCAAATGAATCATAACAATCACAGCCAAATGTGGTATGACAGTCTTGGGTGTCTGCGAAATCACTCTTTTCTCGAACTTTATTAGCAAGTGCTGTGAGACTCAAACCTCACTCACTCCACACAACGTGAGCTGTTGAGCACAACTGACAGCTAAGATACTGTTCTGCTTTTGTGCCTTTATATATATATATACACATTTCTTATTTTAGGAATGTAAAAAATTATATTTTGGGGGTGACTGCAGATTGTGACAACTCTATGATTATGATGTTGTACAGGTTTGACTTTTAAAAAATAACTTTCATAGGATGGAGTGAGATACGGACCACAGGAGTGCCACAGTGCTTAAAATAAGAAATTGAATTCCTGGACAACAAGATTGCTCAGCTGGAAATAAATGGCAGTTCATGACAATATCCATCCATCCCACAAGGTATGGAAGATGGTGCCCAGCATGGTAGTACGGTGGTAATATTTACAGTCTTATAGGTCCAATGCCCTGTGTTCGATATTGGATTGGGGCATGTTGGGTTTGCACATTCTCCAAATATATACACAAGCATTTCACCAGGTGCTATGGTTTCCTCCCCCTGACAGAAATATGTGGCTTTGGTCTAAAATGGTATTCCAGAATGTGCCTTTGAAGGGCACTTTTTTTTTTTTTACATGAGGTGAGGTTCCAACACAAATAGTATTAGCTATGTGACAAGAAGGTAATATAACCAAATATGTATGATGGGCCAAATGGTCCCCTCTCATTCACGGCCTTCCTGATGTTCAACCCAGAGACATAACATTAGACATGACCCCTACTGAGTATGTATCCTTGAGCATTCCCTGCAATCTTAAAGAGGTGTTTTTTAACTTCTCTATCTGTTTAACCAAATCCAATCTCTTCATTTTCTTCCTAAAATAAAAAAAGTTTTTCCACCCTTGACACTACTACCTGGTTTTGTTTAAAGTACAGTAGTTTAAACACCACTATAACATGTATATTACAACTGCCACCCATAAACAGAATATTATAAAACAAATTTGTACAATGCAGATGTTTGTGAGACTATCAGACATTTGAATGTATATTCTTTAAAAAGAAGTATGACATACTTATACTTTTAGAAGCAATTAGTAAACTTGTTCTGTTTGAAAGTTATTAAACACATGTGCCTTAATTCCATAGGAATGTAATTTGTTGTGTCTGTGTTGCTACCAAAAACATGACACTTTTGTCCTTCACTGTGGATGAGCCATGAACCTTTTTCTAACACTAATTTCTCTGCTCCTGCCTTGTTCTATCTGCACGACCTCACCCAAGGAGAAGTGCCAAGACTTCACCCTCCCAGGTCACTGCTGGGTACCTCAAAGTCAGGACACAGCAAGACCACAGACTCTCACTCCATTCCAGCCTGTGTGGCAGATCTGCTCTGCACTAGATATAGGATCTTATCATGGTAAATAAAAAAAAAAACAAATTACAGTTTTACACTAAACAGCGGAACTAGTGCCATCTAGCTACAGTAACTTTATGATGTGCACATGTTTCTCTTCAGTAGCACCTTCTGTCCTATGAAAAACACAGGTCTGCACTCAAGGCAAATGAAAGAAATTCTCAACGGCCAACGGTTTTGTTGTTTC